GGAAAGTCGGCATAAGCCTGGATCTCAGTTTCCAAGATCGATTCTATGAGGCGGAAGTTGTCTGTCACTAGCCCTTCGTCGTCCTTGTTTGAGATGAAGGTCTTCGTCTGTCTCAAAATTTGCTCTTCATTCAAGCATTCGTCAATCCAGGCTTTAAGCTGATTAACGGAAGTAACAATGCTGAGAAGGTCCGGGTACAACTCTAGCTTCAGAATACGAAGGACATTGGCTTGAGCTGCATCTAAGGAAGGAAACAGCCGTGCTCTTCCCTTATCCAGCTTGTGATTCGCACTTTCGGGGTCTGCTGAAACAGACAATCGGTATCTAGCCGCCAGACAGGCGCCTGCAGAGACAAAGGACGCATATATGTCACGTATACGCCTGAACGCATGTTCGAAGTGTTTATGTACGTTTTCCAACTCATTAATTAGATTTCTCGTCTTGGACGGCTCCGCAGGATTTGAGGTATCACCGACATATAAAATTCTATAAATGGTTTCTATAAGGTCACACAAAAATCCGAATCCAGCTCGTTTTTCTGCATCAAGAGTAATTGTGTTGGCGCAAAAGGAGTAAAAAATCGGGAGTAGGGAAGAAAGCACACAGTCGAAATGCGCGACACTGAAGCAAGGTTTCCTTGAGTTATCCGAATCTTTTGAGGGATTTCTCTCATTATTTATGGGATCAACTGGACCAATTTGCTGAGAAGACGGCTCAGAAAATGGAATGGTGTTGGCTTCCGTTTTGGACTTCATATCTACGAGGCATTGAAACGCATTTTTGCGGAATATAATGCAGGCAACTTGAAGCAAAATCTGAGGTGGGCAGCATACGTTCCAGGAAACTTCCCGATTTAATGATATTTCAGTGAATACTCGTGAAGCAGTGTTGGCTGCGTCGGACATGAGATTCTTCTCTTCCGTTATTGGAATTATGAAGGCTCGGAGAAAACGAGCCTCCAAAAGCCAGGCTAGCTGATCGTTTTTTATGGAATCGCAAGCGTAAGGGAATCCTTGGAGCACCGACACAAGTCCGGAATGGCTCTTAATGCGGAGGTAAGGAGTACGGACTAGATTGCTTCGTTGTTGACACAGAACGACGAGATCATTGACCATTTGTGTGTGACAATTACCACGAGAAAAATGTATGAGGCAAATAAGACGAATAGCATCACCAAGAAGCATAAAAGGGTGTAGGCTAAAAGGAAAAAAAAGCTAGTGAAATAAGATTCACCACTAGCCTATGAGTGACAAGGATATCGAAAACTCACCCGCCGTTCTGTTCCAAGAATACTTGGTGCAGTTTTGGGGAAGGGCTGGGTTTCGGCACAAGGGCGTCGACGCTAATAAGCCTAGCAGCAAATGAGTCGATTTTTTTACAGGGCTGTGTATGATCATATGGAAAAAGTTTGTTACCAAGTGTCATATGTAAAGGGACAAGATGCTAAAACACAAACCTGTTTTACAGCCATCGCCGTTCGTGGGGGCCGCGAAAAGCCATAATTGTGCATCTTACTGCTTTGCTTTGAGGGTACGGGTTTTCCATTGGATGTTTTTACATCGCAGAGTGGCTTATTTACAGTTGAGAAAGAATTCGTGGTAGGAAGAGTTAAGGAGGCAGATGACGTTGAGGTAGAAGAGCACGGCGAATTTGTCGAGGTGAAAACGTTAGTGTAGGCAACTTCTTTGATCGCAGAGGATCCATACAATTTATTTACATTGAGGAGAGGCACGGGCTTTTCTGGAGATAATCTCGAGTAGCAACTTGAAGGTGAGGGGATAGCTAAAAGTACTCAGGATATTAAAAACGTAAAAATGTAGCGAATACATTTGACAGATTAGATCTACCCTACCTGGATCAGCACGGGGAAGCAAATGGTTCTGAAAATGCAATTCAAATAAAGAACGTCACGGGAGAATGCTTAAGGATATTCTAGGCATAAGTGCGACTCACATTTTTATTAGGTCTGAGAGAGAGTGTC